TCAAGATTTTATTTTTTTAAAACACTTTTACTTATTCAACTAAATGTATACTATATTACAATTTATTTTACATAAGTTTATGAATATTGTTTTGACAACAGTATCTATTACGCATTACTTATTTGTGTTGGTTTTTTTCATAAATATCCCTAAAAAAATTCGTGGGCATTGCCCCTGAACCCTCGCCATATTATTATTAACTCTCTAAAGTTTTCGGCCCCCCCTACCAAAAAATCCTGGTTCCGCCCCTGGTTGTATATATATGTTTTTTTTCCTACATTTTCTTAGAGATTTTCATAATCTTTATAGCTATTTCTTCCACAATTATTTTTTAGTTTATTTATGTATTTGATACACTAGAGATACTTTATTTATTCATTAATATTATTAATTTATTATACTATATAGTATAATAAATTAATAATATTAATGTAAACAAAACGACGTCGTTTTGTATGGTGGGGCGTGACGGGTTTCACGGGTATTAAAAAAAATTGAACCCGTCTTAGGCCCAAACGCTCGGTTCTTCACCATTTAATTAGGACCCAATCCTATAAATGGATCTATCCGTCTGATCCCAACGGGGCGGTTTTTCACGGGTTTGACGGGTGTAGCGGGTTGATAGGTCCGACTTGCTCACCCCTAGTTTACCCGACAATGTCGGTTGCCAACCATTACCCGACCCATAATGATCGGGCCGGTAATAGTTTTTAATTTTCAGCAAAATCAGGGATCGGGACGGATATGTAATTGACCGAGAATCACCCGATCCGATTCATGCCCAGTCCAACTATTGTGTAGTGATTGTAGCTTGTAGGTCACCAACGGTCAATTGCAAGATTGTTTTCTTTGATTTCTTTCAATACTTTTTTATTTTCTCTTTCAATTAGTAAATATTTCAGATGCCTCCACCTAGGAAATCATCTCTTCAATCATTTAACCAATGAGAAAATTTAAGTATCTATATTTTTCATTTTTTCATTTTTTTCAACTTAGAGATCAAAACGAACTTGTAACAGATTTAATTCAATTACAGAAATTTCTGCAATATAATCCTCAAAGAGGCAATCATGAAGAGTGTCACAAATTTACACGGTTATAATCTTTGGCTCACACGGTTCACCACTGCAGCCACACATTTGAATAATTGGTTCTGGTGTATGGGACGGTCTGAGGCGGTCACGTATTCGAGGCTGGTCAAGAAATCGGTAAGTTTTTTTTTTCTGAATTAGTCGCCTAAAAAAAGTTGGGCTTTTAATAAAAAAATGAGTTTATGCTTTGTTTTGTTTATGTTAATTGTTATTTTTAAAGAACCTAATGTTATATGCTTTACAATATTCAAGCATAATTTTTAAATGAAGAACATTTTCGTTTATTTGTAGTTTGTAAGAATTTTTATTAGGGTAAATTACAAACACCCCCCTGAGGTATGGTCAAACTACAAAAAACCCCCCTCTTGTTTGGATAATTACATCTACCCTCCTCAACTATGATTTTTTCGTACACCTCCACGCTTATGGTGCCAAATTCAACATAATCATCTAGATTCCGTGAAATGTGCTCTAGTTTGTACTCGTTTTGTGTAAAAGTACTGTTTTTGATGCACCAAAAATTGATATATACAAGCTAAAAATCACATATTATGAGCATCTTGCTTCATAATGTAGAGTTTGAATGAGATAAAACGGGTACAAAAGTGATAATATTCCATATAATCTCGAAGATTTCACTAAATTTGAGGAGTTGAGGGGGTGGTTGTAATTATCTAAACAAGAGGGGTGTTTTTGTAATTTGACCATACCTCAGGGGGTGTTTGTAATTTACCCTTTTTATTATATTATAAACTTATTATTATTGAAATTATACTATGTGATTAGGATATATAAATGATTGGGGTATAATCATGTTTAAATATCTTTTTATATATGTTTTGAGTATTTACAAAATAATATCTAGAAATATGCTACATTAAATTTGAAAAATCGATTTATTTTCGATTTATCTCTGCTGCAAATCGTGAAGCGTGACTAACCGTCTCCAACCCAATTCCCGCCTTTTACAAACTTGGATATAATACAACATAACAAATTGTATTTCGGCCAAAAATATGCCACGTCAAAACCGTGCATGTAACTCGTTAATTAGAAGTTTAGAACCCATGTTTCTTAATTTGAATTTAGGGTAGCCTGTTTGTAAGCACCAATGACTATTTGGTCATGAGTACGAGACACCAGAAGGGGAATCGAGAACAACAGATAGTCATCTTTTAAAAATAAAAAAAATAAAAATAAAATAAATAAATTTGAATCCAAGGTTACTACCCGCAAAACATATGGGCCGAAATCGGATCCCAAAAGGACGGCCCATGTGACACTTGGTTGACGCGCTTTCATCAGCCCCAGTGAAGAGATACACGTGTCACTTCCCCAGTGGTAACGGGCCCGGCACGTGCTCATACACAGCATACTGCCAGCTGGATTCTATTCCAAAGTCGGCTGGCTAAAAACCTTATCCTCTTTCTTTTTATGAACAATGATAATCTCACCTGCCCCCACCCCCATCCAAAAAAATTAAGGGCAAATTACCAAAACCCCTCTGAGGTAAGCCTAAATAACGAAAATCCCCCCCATGTTCTCGTAATTACAAAAACCCCCCTGAGGTATGCAGACGTCTTACAAATCGCTCTAACGGTGTTAGACTCGATAGAATCTTTTTGATTCTCCCGAATATTCCTCCGATAATACCAATTTTGCCCTTGTACACGAAATTAACCTTAGGGGGGTAATTGTAAGCATTTTATTTAATGAGGGGTCATTATGAATGTACAAAATACTTATTTTTCTTAAATTAAACCCAAATATAATCAATCATTATGAATGTACAATGTATTTTTATTGGATTAAAAAAAATCAATGAATGAGATTTCAAAATTTAATTATTTTTTATATATAAAATTAAATATTTTACAATTCGAGAAATACAACCATGCATCATTCAAGCTAAAAGCATAAATCAGTATGAATACTCCTCTGGATAAATAAAATCAATTAAAATATATAAATAAAAAAATATATAAGTGTCTGCAAAATACTTATTTTTCTTAAATTAAACCCAAATATAATCAATCATTATGAATGTACAATGTATTTTTATTGGATTAAAAAAAATCAATGAATGAGATTTCAAAATTTAATTATTTTTTATATATAAAATTAAATATTTTACAATTCGAGAAATACAACCATGCATCATTCAAGCTAAAAGCATAAATCCGTATGAATACTCCTCTGGATAAATAAAATCAATTAAAATATATAAATAAAAAAAATAAAAAATTATAATATCAAATTATCAATACAAATTACAAAGTAATAAATAAATTTATAAAAGCAATAAATCATCAACTGAAAGGGACGTCAGGGGGGATTTTCGTTATTTAGGCTTACCTCAGGGGGGTTTTGGTAATTTGCCCTTTATTTTTTACATATTTAACAGAAGGATATAATAGACATTTCATGTTTTCGGTTAAAAAAATTCGGTCAACCGTTAGTCAAGGGGGGTTTTCGTAATTACGAGAACATGGGGGGGATTTTCGTTATTTAGGCTTACCTCAGGGGGTTTTTGGTAATTTGCCCAAAAATTAAATGCGAGCCTAAAATACTTGCAACAAAAAAAATATCATTTCATATATATATATATATATATATATATATATATATATATATATATATATATATATATATATATATATATATATATATATATATATATATATATATATATATATATATATATATATATATATATACAATACAAATAAAAAGTTCTGGTTATTTTTCTAGATAATGTAGCAATCTCTTCTTAAATGGTATTATAGTTATAGTATTCCCTTTGTTTTGTATCAACAAATAGTTCATTTTTTTTATATAGTATTGAATTTATTCTAATATATTGTTATACTCTAATTAAATACATTAATGTTTTCAATACATTATTCTTATGCTACTATAAAATATTAAAATTTCAAAATATTATAAATAATAGTCATTTTTTTATTACTAAATTCGCATGTATTTTATTATCTATATTTTCGCTGTTTTGAATCGACAGATAATTAATTAATGATACTTTTAATGCAATTGCGCGTGTCCGTTGATAATATCCAGAGCGTCCATTGAATAATGAATTTATTACATCGCTATCCTTTTACCCGTTACAACTGTGTTTTCACTGTTTCTTATAATAGTGTTTCAGAAAATAGTATTTTATTGTCTGTATTTTCTCTGTTTTGAATCGACAAATAATCAATTAATGATTTTTTTTTAAGGCTATAATCAATTAATGATACGTTTAATGCAATACGCGTGTCCGTCGATAGTATCTAGAGCGTCTATTAAGTAATAAATTTATTACATCGTTATCCCTTTTACCCACTACAACTGTGTTTTCGCTAGTTCTTATAGCAGTGTTTCAGAACATTTGAAAACAGTATCGAAAATTCAAAATCATACTTTTCAGGACGCACGGGGCAAGAGAATTTCGTTTTACGATCGAGTAAGTCGCCAATTTCTTCGCATTACATAAAAATTATACTCTTTAACATTTTATTATCATTGGATTTATGTATATTTTTTTTATGCTTTTAAGTGGCAAAAATAAAATAAAAATTGGTGTACTAATTAATTAGTTTGTGAGCATGAGTAAAAAATTGGGTTGTGAGTTGTGATATGTGAACCACTTGGGGTGAGTTTAGTGATTCTTTTATTTGATGGCACGTTTTTGTTTTCAGACAGGTATTATTTTATCCAATTCACATAATAAAAACAATTTTATTATTATTATTATTAATATAATAATAATTTATTTATTTATCCTCTTTGATTGAATATTCATATCCATGACTTCTTGTAGGCGATCGTCGATTCATCACTTATTTACACAAAATTGCGTTTATGAAACCCTAGATTAGAATCCCGTTCTCAATTCTTGGCTCAAGTTTCACTCTTTCTCTCTCTATCTCCATTAAATCGAAGTGGTGAGCTTCAATCCCCAATTTCTGTTTCCCCTTTGTCGTCAGATTGAAATTGTGTGAATACTAGGGTTTCCGTAGAATTTTGCGTTTTGATTTTTTGGGAAATTTTTCATTTTCTATGATGAGCTCGGCTTGTGAGTTCTTCCTCTTGGGTGTTTCTGCGCATCAATTTCTTTCTGATTGAATTTGAATTTTTGGGTTTCTGTTGTCAATTGTCATCACGGCATTTTGCGTTCTTTGATCCGAATCAAGATTTTTAAATTATTGGATTGGATCCGGTTCTATGTTTATGGTTATCTTCTGTAATAAATGGCCATCTATTGCAGGTGACTGAACAAAAAAAAAAAATTTGAAGTGAAAGATTTGGGATTAGGGATCGTGTGGATTTTGGGGAAGAAAAAAAAAATTAAATTTTACTCATTGAGTAGAGTTACACAGAAATTTAGCGAAGATGATGTCGAGATCGTATACGAATCTTTTGGAGTTAGCATCTGGGAATTTCCCAGTAATGGGTAGAGAAAAGGAGCGAAAGCGTTTTCCGAGGGTGATGACAGTCCCCGGAAATATTGTCGAGATGGACGATGAACAAGATAATAGTGTAACATCCGAAAACCCGTCTTCAATAGCCGGTGATCGAATGATAATTGTTGCAAACCTTCTGCCGTTGAAAGCGAAACGAAGGCCGGACAATAAGGGTTGGGTTTTCAGTTGGAACGAGGATTCTTTGCTTTTGTGGGTTAAGGTTGGTTTGCCGGAGGATATGGAGGTACTCTACGTCGGGTCATTACCCGTCGATGTTGATCCAATCGAACAAGATGATGTAGCCAATCATCTTTTGGAGAAATTTAAATGCGTTCCCGCCTTTTTGCCTCCTAATCTCTTGGCGAAATATTACCATGGCTTTTGCAAGAAACAGTTGTGGCCGCTCTTTCATTACATGCTGCCGTTTTCGGCCGACCACGGCGGTAGATTCGACCGTTCCATGTGGGAAGCGTACGTGTCTGCAAATAAAATGTTCTCGCAGAAAGTTATCGAGGTGCTTAACCCCGAGGACGATTTCGTCTGGATTCATGATTATCATCTGATGGTTCTGCCCACATTCTTGAGGAGGCGTTTCGTACGTCTGAGGATGGGGTTTTTTCTTCACAGTCCGTTTCCTTCGTCCGAGATATACCGATCGCTCCCTGTCAGAGAAGAAATCCTCAAAGCCCTACTCAACTCCGACCTCATTGGTTTCCACACGTTCGATTACGCTCGCCATTTCCTCTCGTGTTGCAGTCGAATGTTGGGCTTAGAGTATCAGTCAAAAAGGGGATACATAGGGCTGGAGTATTATGGAAGAACAGTCGGGATAAAGATTATGCCGGTTGGAATACATATGGGCCATATCGAGTCGGTGATTCGACAAACCGATAAGGAGCTGAAAGTTGAGGAGCTAAAGCGACAGTTTGAAGGCAAGACAGTCTTGCTTGGGGTCGATGACATGGACGTATTCAAAGGTATAAACCTGAAGCTTTTAGCTATGGAGCACATGCTGAAACAGCACCGAAATTGGCAAGGAAAGGCCGTGCTTGTGCAGATTGCGAATCCTGCAAGAGGGAAAGGAATCGATTTGGAGGAAATACAGTCCGAAATCGAAGAGAGCTGCAAGAGAATTAATAAAGAACTCGGCAAACCTGGATACGAGCCTATAGTCTATATCCACCGTCCGATATCAATCAGCGAGAGAATGGCGTACTACAGCATCGCCGAATGTGTCGTGGTGACAGCTGTCAGGGATGGGATGAACTTGACACCTTACGAATATATTATATGCAGGCAAGGAGTATCTGGTGCGGAAAGAGGTTCGGAATTGTGCGGACCTAAAAAGAGCATGCTGGTTGTGTCCGAATTCATCGGCTGCTCTCCTTCACTGAGTGGGGCCATTCGAGTCAACCCATGGAACGTTGAGTCGACTGCCGAGGCGATGAACGAGTCTATATCAATGGCCGAGTCGGAGAAGGAGCTTCGGCATGAGAAGCACTACCGTTATGTCAGCACGCACGATGTGGCGTTTTGGTCGAGGAGTTTCTTACAGGATATGGAGAGGACTTGTGCCGACCATTTTAGGAAGAGATGCTGGGGTATTGGCCTGGGCTTCGGGTTTCGGGTTGTGGCGTTGGATCCTAATTTTAGAAAGCTTTCGATCGACGAAATCGTGGGTGCTTACTGTAGGTCGAAGAGTAGGGCTATACTGTTGGATTATGACGGCACTTTGATGCCTCAGAATTCGATTATTAAGACGCCGAGCGCACAGGTTATGTCTCTGTTGAATAGTCTGTGCGGGGATCGGAAAAATATGGTTTTTATGGTGAGTGGGAGAGGGAGGGAAAGCTTGAGCAAGTGGTTTCTTCCTTGCAAGAAGCTTGGCCTTGCTGCCGAACATGGATACTTTATAAGGTATATATATAGTTCAAATGCCTCACTAATTTTTATCTTTTTATAATATGATGAATGAATTAAAGAATTCGATAACTGTCGCACTCCCGAATTTTCCCTTAAAGAAATGATAGACGTTGGAGTTTTTTTACTTAAAGTTTTACTATGGATATTACGATACAAGCAGATTTTCCATTTGATTTTTCTGCATTAAAATTTTGTAGGTCGCCGGGGCAAGACGAATGGGAAACGTATGGGCAGAGCTGCGAATTCGGTTGGATGCAAATGGCGGAGCCTGTTATGAAATCATATACCGAAGCTACAGATGGTTCTGGAATCGAACGAAAGGAAAGTGCTTTGGTTTGGCATTACAATGATGCGGACCCTGGTTTCGGTTTTTCTCAGGCTAAGGAAATGTTGGACCATTTAGAGAGTGTTTTAGCAAACGAACCCGTCGCTGTCAAGAGCGGCCAGTTCATCGTAGAAGTCAAGCCTCAGGTACCGTATAATTTTTTTATTTTTTTTTAAATGTTGGAAATTATGTTTTCTTGATGGTGAAAAAAATGTGTTGTTGTTTAATGTGTAGGGCGTTAGCAAAGGTATTGTAGCGGAGAAGGTTTTCACGTCGATGACGGAGAGTGGGAAGCAGGCTGATTTCGTGCTGTGCATAGGCGATGACAGATCGGATGAGGATATGTTTGAACTAATTGGAACTGCAGTTTCGAGGCATATTCTTTCGTACAACACTGAAGTGTTTGGGTGTACCGTTGGCCAAAAACCTAGCAAAGCTAAGTATTATTTGGATGACTCGTCTCAAGTTGTAGCCATGCTCGAGTCTCTCGCTGAAGTTTCCGATTCTCCGGTTACGTCCGATGAGGAAAATGATAATAGCTCGCCCCGAAAATTCGGAAGTGTTTCTTCTTTCGTTTGATTTTGATGTTGTTAGGGTTTTAGGTGCTAGATTTTATGGAAATGATGTCTTCTTTTTTATTAATTTTTTTTTTTTTTCTGAATTTCGTTAGTTTTTTTTTTAGTCTGTTTCTTCGTGGTTGGAGTTTGCAGAACTTATTAGTTGAGATTCTTTGGAGGGGGGGAGTGTGTTCTTTTCTGTAGGAGAAAATGGAATTTGGCATGTTGTGCAGCAAAAACGAAGGGCGCCATGATATACTTTCTGAATCTGGACAAAGTTTGACGAAGAATGAGGAGGCTGTAATTGTTTAAAACGAGGTTTTGAGGTTTGTGGATGATGAATCAGTTGACGAAGCAGAGTTATTAAAATGGGGCGAGAGTGATTTCGTTAAATCCTCGGTTGTTCTACTACCTGTACAGGTTTGCTTTGGTTCATTGTTATTCCGTTGTGGCTGCCCGAATTGTATTAATGTGAATATGTGCTGGATATTTCAATAATTTTCTCGACTGATGGTTTCGCCCCGTCGATAGATTCTTTTTAACTTGAATTTTCTTGTTTAATTCCGCAATTGTTTTTTCCCTTTTAATTTATTTTAAATGACTAGGTTTTGAAATCCCAATTTTCAGCCAAACATGTAATGTAGTGTTGCAGATATACCCGTCAAGGTTCGGAATCAAACTCACATCTGCCAAAAAGGTTCATTTAAATTAGGGTAAGTTACAACCAGTCCCTGAGGTATAGTTAAATTAAGAAAACCACCTGCTGTTTGTATTATTACATCTACCTCTCAAGTATGAATCTTCTGACATCTTAGAACCGCGGTTCTAACCTTTTGAAGTGGTTTTAAAAAAAAAAAAAAATAAATAAATAATTTCCTATCTCACTCTCTCTCTCTCTCTCTCTCTCTCTCTCTCTCTCTCTCTATATATATATATATATATATATATATATATATATATATATAAGTATTAAGAAAAAAATATACGTATTTAAAAAAAATTGAAGTCTTTTAAATATACTTTCCACCTACAAAAACAAACTATTTTCAAAAGTGTTTTTTTAAGTTTTTTAAAGTATTTATATATATATATATATATATATATATATATATATATATATATATATATATATATATATATATATATATATATATATATATATATATATATATATATATATATATATATATATATATATATATATATATATATATATATATATATATATATATATATATATATATATATATATATATATATATATATATATATATATATATATATATATATATATAAAATAAAATAAAATTATTATTAAGAACCGGCGGTTCTACCGGTTCTAACCGGGAACCGAACCGGAACCGGTTAGGAATCGAACCACAAGGAACCGGATTTTTTCGGTTCGGAACCGAAACCGGAACCGAACCGAACCGTGGTCAGATCTAGGTGGACGTGTAAGAAGATTTATAGTTGAGGGTTGTAATTTACCCTTTAAATTAAGATAATTGAAAATCAAAACAGAACTAAAACCTTTTTAATAATTATGCATAAAAAAGGTTAATTTACATTAAATTAAAAAAAGAAAAACAGTATACCAAGCAAAACCAATTGTACAATTCAGCAAAATCGCAGTGTATACTCAGAGATTAGTAATTCGATTAGCACCGACTCAGATCACCAGTAATCTCCACACGAACACTTCCCATTCTTGAAATGATGAAACCTACTCGAATCCCTCACAACAATTTCTCGATTTCTCACCACGGAAATACACTTCATAGCAACATGACAATCGTCGCAGATACGCAAATTCTTCATAATCCTAATCGGGACACCGTCCGGCGTATTCATCAGAGCAAACGCAACAGCCAATTTCTCACTATGATGCACCAAGTTATATTCCTTCTCCTCCATATCCATATCATGCAACGAAGCGCCCGTATCCGTCACATACCCGCACAATCTCACTTCATTCATCAGTTCTTTCAAATATATATCAATTTCCTCCGACTGCGGGTTCGATTTATTATCCCCCATCGTAAAATGGTAAACCCGGTTCTTCAATTCGAACCAGCTTATTCCAGGCTCTTTCTTCACCATCATTTTCCTCATCGTTTTTCTAACTTCCGAAACCTCATCCCATCTTTTCGCAGAGGCTTGCGTGTTCGAAAGGAGCACATAAGAAGCTGAATCTCGAGGGTCGATTCTCAAAATCTCCTCGGCTATCCTTTTAGCCATTTCCACGTTTTTATGTGTTTTACAAGCCGATAGCAAAGTCTTCCATGTAATTGTATCGGGTTTAATAGGCATGGATCTGATAAAACGTTCTGCTTCGTCCAAACGACCTGTTCTCCCTAGGAGATCAACCACACACGTATAGTGTTTCACCTGAGGCTTCAATCCGTATTTTTTCACCATCAAATCGAAAAATTCGAGCCCTTTATCTTTCAATCCACAGTGACTACACGAATAGAGTAAGCTCAAGAAAGTTACTTCGTTCGGTTTAAATCCATCAATCTCCATTCTGTTAAATAGGTCAATTGCCTCCTCTCCTTTTCCATGGAACCCGTACGCGGAAATCATCGAACTCCACAATACAACATCATCTTCCGATACTGCCCTTTCCTCAAAGACTTTCACTGCATCGTCTAAGCATCCACAACGCGAATACATACTAATTAGTGAACTAATAACAGAGGCAACTGAAGTTGCCCCTGCTCTTACAACCTCTGCATGAATCTGCTGACCTTGCCCGAGAGTCGATAGCTCAGAACAAGAAGTGATTACACTCACGAAAGTTATTTTGTCGGGCCGAATTCCGGATACTTTCATCACGCGGTAATGATCCAATGCACCCGTGGGGCACCCATTCTGCACTCGCCCAGCAATAAGTGTATTACAAGAAACGATATTGTGAACTGGCATCGAAAGAATTATTCTTTCACCGTCGCTCAAACAACCGCAGTTCATATACACGTGTGCCACCGAATTTCCTACGACTAAATCAAACTCTAGACCCGCTCCCATCACGTAGCCGTGAACTTGTTTTCCCTTGATCAAGTCTTTCAATCCTGCACATCCCCTCAGCACACTCCCGAGTGTGTATGCGTCCGGTGAAAACCCATCTGCGTGCATTTTCGCGAACATTCTCAATGCATCCTCGTTAAACTCGGACACGATCAAACCCGTGATGATTGCATTCCAGGTGGCCGAATTCCTCCGACCCATTTTCTTAAAAACCTCGATTGCGGCACACAATTGGCCGTTTTGAATGTATCCACCAATCAAGATATTATGGGACATGACATTTCTGTCAGACATTTTATCGAACACCTTCAGAGCTGTACCCATATGGCCTAATTTGGAATAAGCGTTCACCAGGTGGTTTGATACGAACTTGAGATTTGACCAGCCGGCGGCGAGGATGATGCAGTGGAGCTGTTGGGCCAGCGAAAGAGAGCGGCGTTCGATGCATGCTTTGAGGAGGTGGGAGAAGAGAGATGGGTCGGACAAAATAAGCGAGTGGTGGGTAGTGAAGGCTTGCTTGAGGTTGCCTTTGGTACACAAGGCGATGAACGAATCTGCTGAGGTGGCGGCGGTGGCGGCGGCGGCGGTGGTGGTAAAGAACGAGAATGTATATTGAGTTTGGAGGGAAATGGGAAAGGGAAAAAGAGCTTTTGAAGATGCCTTCCTCATGAACGCAAATAAATTGTTGTCATTTTAAGTTCCACACCTCGTATAATTCATAATAGGTGTCGGATTGTTGAATAAGATATTTTTTTTTTTTTTTTTTTTTTTTAATTTAGTGCAATTTGAAAAAAGTTCCTAAATTGATTTTCAAATATTGGTGAAGAAAATATTTCTCTATAAAAACAAACATATACATTTTATTTTTACAAAAATATCCTTACTATTGTAATAGATATCTGATCCTATAAACTTATGGACTAAGTATTGATGTGGCATATACTATTACTACGTGTACTAATTTAGTAATAGA